GAATTCTCAGCTCGAAATGTTGGGCCAAATGTATATACCTGGCAGAAAGACATCAATAAATCAAAAGGGAAAGCATAGATAATCAGAATAAAGATACAACAACAAACCCAGTAGGTAATCAAAAGAAGACAAGCTTACATCAGAAAGAGCAGTAGCATAAGTTTCAGCATTAAGTTGGCCTGAGACAGTCAAAAATGCCGGCTTCCCAAAAAAATCCTGACAGGGGATATAAATTAAGTTTAATATCATCAAATCAATAACTTTTGACAGGCTATATCATTGGCTGGTAGGATATGACATAAAATTTGAAAGAGGCAGCAACTCTTATTGGTGATATTCTTCCAATGCAAGACCTCTCACTACTGATATAGGCATCCTATATCTATCTAATCAGAATATAACCAACCCCACTGGCCTTACATGTGCAACAGTGAAATAAAGGCCAATTACATTAATTAAAAAAAATACATATAACAACAAACAACCAAATCCTTAATCTCAATATGATGGGGTCAGCTGCATGAACCAAGATTATATAAATAGATAATTAATGTATCCTTTACCAATATTGGATGAGCTTGATGACTAGTCCATCTTAGACCTCAAAAGGTCAAAACATATAGATGTCTCAAGATTCAAAGTCTTTTTTATCCAAGAAAAAAAGGGAAAATTAGCTGATTTTCTCATACCATTTTAGAGCAATCAAACTCACCTGCGACCAATCAATCAAACCCTCATCTGTTTTTGGGATTTTACCTGCAGAAGAATCCATAGCTTCCAGGGAGGTTGGAATCTGTTGATTAACAAAAACATTATAGGAATTGAAATGAACAAGACAAATGCTAAATAAAACGTATGTAGTAATGTCAAAGAAACCTTATTTGGACTACAACTTGCATTACATTGTATTTTCCCAAAATTAGAGTCAAAGCTGATTTTTAAAATTAACAACTTCTATTAATGCAATTTCAAGGTGCAGCACACAAATTTACAAGCAATTATTCGCTTCCAGATACTAAGGCTTTTTTTAGCACAAACCTACTACAAAATTCCATGGGAAAACAAATAAACTTCAGAGGAAATAATTTATACTTTGTGGGGGAAGATGTATTTTATTAAGGCTTGGACCAAACTTTTGAAAGTGGGTGAGGGTATCCTTGTCTTTCTAACTTCTATGAGTGTATGCAAATGGAATAAATGGTGGATATGTTACAATATAAGGAAATAGGGCAACTTTTAATGGACGACCCAAAATAGAAAATGGGGCAAACTACTAGGGACTGAGGGAATAACATACAAGGCACTCACCCAAATTCTTTAGCCACATAAAAAATGTAAAGCCCAAAACTCTACCGGCGGATTGAAAATAAAATAGAAATTCTCTGCCAACCACTTACCAAAGTAGTCACACAAAATTGTTCACCAGCACCTTCACAATCTGAAGCAGTGATAATTGGATTTGAGATCCAGACAAACCCATTCTCTTGGAAGAATTTGTGTGTAGCATAGGCTAAAGCATTCCTCACCCTTGCAACCTATACCAGCTTGCAATGACAATAAACCTGAGATACTTAATGTGGTACATCTTTATCAAATGCAAATACATTAAGAAACTATAATTCCGGGTGAAGAGAGAAACACGCATCTGAATAAGCAACTGATATTTATAAGCAGATGACATTTTACATAAAAGCAAGATTATATATATACTTCCCCTGTTTTTTTCTATTCGTAACGTTTGAATTTTTACACTATTCACACATAAAATTAAAGTTATTCATGATATAAGATGTGCACCGGCAAACGTGAAACTCCCAACATTGCAATTAAAATATAATGGAGGAAGTATAATGATTTTATGGATTTGAGAGACATGAACCACGTAATAATCAAGGAAAAAAAACAATATATAACCATGATGGAACAACATATATGCCAAAACGATCAAAGATGATAGCATCACATAAAGAAGATGACATTTCTAATAAGAAAAAAAATCTACAACTAAAATATAAGTAATTGAACTAACAAATTCATGAAAGAAAAAGATATTTCTTTTCTTTATACTTGAAGTCAAACATCGTTTAGTTTACCAAAAGATGGACTTTATGAGTATATTAGTAAAAACACTAAGATGAGATCATACCGCACCAAAAGTATTGGTTCTAGGGCGAAGATGAGCTTTAGTCCTCAAAAACTCTCTGCTAACCCTTTTCTTTTGTATAGGAAACGAAGAATCACTTTCACCAATCTGAAATGGTAAAAGAGAGAGAAGAAAAAACACAAAAGTAGTATTTCAGCACCATATTACACATAGCTCAATAGAAGAGATGCAAGAAAAGATGAATGAACTAAATTTTTTACTGCAAGTTGATATCCTTTTCATGATAATTAACAGGATATTCATGGTTTACTTTAGAAATTATAAACATATATTCGAATTTGATACCATGACCATAATATGTGACGAACACCAGGAGGTTGAAATTCATTATCTATAGTTAGGAAAAGCACGCTTCAAAGGAAATGCCATCCGCATTCACATCAATACTTAAGGGATGTATAGTAAAAGAATTTTCCTTTTCTCTCATGTATCTACGGAAAGCAGCCTATTTAAAACAATTTGTTACATAAGATAAAGGAACATTCCTTTTCCATTTCAAAGGAATATCTACGGAATATGTGAAAGGAGAAAAGAGTCCAAAGATTTATGAACCCCAACTACTGTAAATGTGTAATTTCTTTAGGATACAAGAACTATTACTTCCATTTGTTCTCAATAACTCTTTGAATACTTATACGATATAAGCTTCTTGCATGTATAAACTAGATATGAATGACACCTATAAATAATAACTTGAAGCAAGGAAGAAAAAGGAACTAAGTTGCATCCTTGCAATAATAGTGTTGGGTTTGGAACAGTGTGGAGAAATGATTCAGGGCTAAATTATGGTGGAAGAAGAGCTGTTCACCCAAAGATGGATGGCAGTTCACACAAACTTGAAGAAGAATATGGAAACAAGTGATATGGGTAAATAGTCCAACCAAACCTTCATGACCCTATTTAGTGATTTATGTTTTATCAAGCAATATCGAGCCTTCTTGTCTATATGATTTTTTTATGTCTTGCACTATATATATTCATGTTAGCCATTGTATATAAAAAAGCTTTGATTATATAAAAAAATAAAAAAAAAAATAAAAAAAATAAAAAAAAAGCCTCAATTGTAATAGCACAAACACTTAGAGTTTAAGTGTGAGAGAAGTTTTATTGAGGAGGGCGCTTCAAATTGAAGCTTAAAGCCTCCGTCATTAAATTATTACTATAGTGTATTGGTGGGTTTATCACCGGGTTTTCCATGATAAAATATGTTCTTGTCTCCTTCATGCTTGTCTATTGCTAATAGTCTTCATTGTAGTTAATGTGTGGTAATCACAATAAATCAGTACTCGTTCTTTCCTTTCATGATTTAGTTCCTAACAGTTTGCATAGTAAAACATATATCAACAACCAAGGAAGATGATATACCAAACACAATCTTGTTAACTTTTAACTCAACTTTCTGTTTCGATCCTGGGCTTCCAACTATGGTGCCATGGACCAAGATTGATGCTCCTGTGGAGATGCAACCGGCTTCTACCTGAAAAAAAATAAAATAAAATAAAATAAAATAATAAAAAATAGTGAATGGATGACTGGAAGATATGATGCAAGTGCTAGTCACATTATTACAGTTTGGTAGTTCAAATGATGTTGCCACATCAAAACAAGTCTGTGGTGAAGGTGCAAAGACAATAGGTGATTAAAGAAGTTTCATTTCTTCACATCTGTAAAACATTTGAGGATTCAAACTGTATCACAATTTCCTAACAAGGAACAGCACGTACACTATCAGCACTAGACCTGGTTATTGGGCGGGGCGGGTCAGGGTCGGTTGCGGGTCAGGGTCAAATAGGGTCACATTTTATAGGGTCAATATAGGGTCGGGACAATGCGGGTTGCGGGTCGATAATGGGCGGGCCTACAAAATATCAATTAAAATAAAAGCCATAATTAAATACATATGAATACAAATTAATCTATATAATTATTTTTACATTGTGTATTTTCTTTATCAACTAAATTGGAAAAACATGTTGGTCCTATATTGACCCTACCTAATAAGGGTCCTGTCCATTAATAGGCTTGTCCATTAAAAACCCTATATGCTTGGCCCTGACCCTATTATCATTGGGCTACCCTGTCCAATAACCACCTCTAATTAACACAGGGTATTTCTCACCAATTTGATCATTTTGATAGAGTTATGAGAAAGAGAATGTTGGAAAGCTTGATTATATTGATGAATATACACGAGTATATATAGTCCAAGATTAGAACATTGAACATACCAAACTATGACTAGATACAATATGTGACTAGGTACGTAGCTAATTATAAGGGATATACTTTGACTATCAAAATTAAGGAGTAAATCAAGGGATTTACATATTCTAAACAATAACTAATAATGATAATGATGATATAATCATCTTTATCCTTTATACGCCCCCGCAAGACGGAAGTTCGGAACGAGAGCCGATCTTGGATATAAGATCTCAAATCTTGTTCAATGTAGGAATTGAATGGTGGTGAGAAAGGTTGCATTGCATTGTGATTCTCCAATAAGGTCTGGAGGGAGTGGAGCATTAGAAGGTTTTTTTTTTTCGCTAAGAAGAAAAAGGAAAGGAAGTGTGTTAAAGGAGCTTTTTTTTTTATAGATGGAGGAATTGCGTGAAGAAGTTAAAAGATAGTATATATAGAGAGAGAATAAGAAGTTGTTTAATGGGTGTTTTTCACGGTTTTTAAACACATGAACCATTGATTGTAAATATTCAAAAATAAATAAAAAAAAAAAGAAATTTCAAATTTGCTGGCGTATGCTTGCAACAAATGGAAGGGAAAAAAATATAAAGGTTCCTTGACCACCATACAGGCGAGATAGAAAAATTATAATGGTGGTGATGGTGGTTTAGAACATAATGTTATGTTTCTCCATAATGGTTTTGGAGAGAATTTTGTATATGGTAACACATGGTAGGTAAACTACGGGATATCGAAAAAGGTTTGTTTTTTCGTGTAAGGGGTTTGGAGAAAAAAAAAATATCAATAGCATCTCTTGGTATATGAAATACGGGGTGCCAAAACAATTGAGCAAAAAGTGTGATTTTGGTTTGAAGCTTTCCGAGAAGAAAAGTTTGATATGGTCACCATCATTTGTCGGCATCAACAAAGGGTTTTGATAGTGTAACCATGGTAGTAGCGAAAGCAAGAAAAGATGGATCAAAGGCTCATGAGAAAGATGGATCAGTAGCGATACCAATGATAGAGTTATGAGAAAGAGAATGTTGGAAAGCTTGATTATATTGATGAATATACACGAGTATATATAGTACAAGATTAGAACATTGAACATACCAAACTATGACTACATACAATATGTGACTAGGTACATCAGCTAATTATAAGGGATATACTTTGACTATCAAAATTAAGGAGTAAATCAAGGAATTTACATATTCTAAACAATAACTAATAATGATAATGATGATATAATCATCTTTATCCTTTGTACATGTCGCCTAGCTTGGGGCGCTTCGACTCGAATAAAAAAGTTTTCAACTAAAGTATTTCCAACTAGCTAAATGTCCAATGGCAACATTCGATAAATTCTCGTTTTCATTTACTAGAAATATTGATAAGCAACATTCGCTTTAGTTGTTACAGTACTATCAATGTGACAGTTAGATTTGGACGAAGTACCTGATCATAACCTTCAGCATCTGAGCTCACCACACATTGCATATTTGAGAGACACGACCCATCATTCACCTGCCATAATAATATATAAATCAGTGAATTCCAACAATAGAGAATTAGAAACATTTCTTCAAAAAAAAAAAAAAAACCTCAATAAAAGTGACGCTGCTCTGCATCCGAATGGTGCGAACCCAGCCTCGAACGAGCAAAGTATGGCCTAAACGATCCAAACCCTGGTCAGGACCGCCCTTAATATCAGCAATTTTCAACCTCTTACGAAACAGTCCGACTTTACTACCGGAATCGACATTTTCCGGCGGCTTAATGTCTTCGCCGGCAGATGAGATGAGAGTGCAGCAGCATCTCCGACGAGGCAGAGGAGAAGAATGATGAGCGGAGGAGAAGCATAAGCGAGGTTTCGGAAGAATTGAGTTACTAAGGGTTGTGGTCGTAGGAAGGAGAGACTGAGCAAAGATACGAATGGCAATGTGTGGTCTTAGGCGGGGAGAGAAGGCAACGGCCATTCTCTCTTTTTCTTTTGTTTTTGATTTGATTGATGATAAAGAGCTAGGAAGGCTTTTGCCTGGTGTATACTTATTGAGTTATTGTAGCTTTGCCCTTCTTCTAGACATATGTTAATATTGTTACTCAAATGACAATGTTGTTAATAGTAGTATTAGGGTTTTTTTTTTTTTGAAAACTATTAATATTAGGATTTGTTCTCATACATTTATTTTTAGTTCAGTTCAGTTCAACTCCTAATTTTTTTCTGTAATAAAATATTTAGTTCAATGCAGCTGAGTTCAATCAATGAGAACATGTCCTTAGTCTTGAAATTCGTGTATAGCAGTCCTTCCTTCTTCATCTATCTCTTCTTCTTCCTTCTTCACTTGTCTGCAAAAGTATAACAATGGTGTTATTCGTCCAACACCACAAACATAGATCGTCCTCAACACTACTAACACCACAACAAACTCCGATCCCAACATGTCACTTCTGGTGGCTTCGCCACCGAATTTTATGAAAACCCTAAAAAAAATTATAAGTTAAGGCATGGTTAACCTTAAATGGTAGGAATTTGTTATTGTTTATAAGTGTTCCCTCCTTGTTGAAAAATTGTTCAGCCTCCACTATTAAATAATGAAGATCTCGGTTTCCCCTTCTCATCTTTTTTTCCTTCTCATCATTTTTTCGTCATCTTAACTCCATCTTCTTTACTTTAATCCAAGCGTGACTAATCTACCCCTACCTTAGCCGGTGAAATGACCAGCGTATCCCTTGAGTAATATGGATTGTTACTAAAATTGAGTAACTTGAATTTGCTGCTCTTCCTTTTGTTGGTTGTTTATAAATAATTAATTAACTTATTATTAAAGATGGCGAGGATTCATTAATGTCTAGTTATTTTCTATATTATTACACAATGGCTCACCGGTTTATTTTTTTTTAATTTTTTTTTACGGACACTTTAAATATTTATATTAAAATTATCGTCACTCCCCACTCAAACATTTCACTTAGACCCTATTCATTTTGTTAAACTTAAATTATATTTGCTAAACTAAAATTATTTTTTACTGATTTTCTAATATATTTTTTCTTTCAAGTTATTGATTTTTACTAAATTGAAATTAATTTTACTAAACTAAAATTATTTTTACTGAATACTCCATATTATTTTTTTAAAATTAAACTGAAGAGGGCCTAACTTCACTTTACAATGCCCCGTGCACTATTTCTATGAATAAAATAATATTCCACTATGTTCACTTTACAATAAACATCTTAATAAGCTATTCCACTCAAACATTTTCATAAACTCCATGCCCATTTCAATGTGTCAATTAAATGGGAACGGAGAGAGTACTCCTTAAATTAACTTACGGAGTACACTCTCTGTTTCATAATATCGCAATAGTAAAGTATGGACAGAGCTTTAGGAAAATTACAGGGTAATATCGAATGACACTCGTCACTTTCTGGTGTTGTTTTTTTCCAAAACAATGGGTTTCTTATTATTATTTTATCAAATGTTTAAAAGAATACTTAGGGCGTTTGGTTGGGGGTTTCAAGAAACGGAATGGGAATCAACTGCCATGATTCCCTTTAATGTTGTTTGTTTGTCTAATTCAATCATTCCATTTCCCCTTTGATTACCCAATTTTCTTCCATCATCATTCCCCACCTCCTCCAAGGGAAACATCCATTACCCCAAAATCCTCTACACCCAACAACTATAACCAACTTTCACCACCTGACTTGGTCCACCAGCAACCTCCCACTGCCAATCGTGAACCGTTCCCATTGTAGCCGTCACCACCACTGACGACCCCAGCTTCAAACGCCCCTAAAACTCCACCGCTCCACGAAACCACTTTGAAATTACCATGATACCACCACAACCATTAATCAAAACCACCACAACCACCCCGAAGCCCCACCACCACTAGAAAAAAACCACATACAACCTCCCAATTACTACTAATTTTAAAATTAAAATAATATAAGTGAAAAAATTACCTTTTTTCTATCATCAAATATGGCTATAGATGGTCAAATACACCAATAAAAACTCCAGATCTAGAGTTTTTAAGGGTGAATTTGACCTTTAAAAACCTATAATTAGATGAGAGAGAAAATTTCGATTGTGGGGCCTAAGAGAGGCAGCGGCGTGAAAGGTGGCAGTGACAATGGAAGGGATCCAAAAATGACGTCAGGATGGAGTGGGTGGTGCTCTATTAATATGAGGGAGAAGTTTTTGGAGAAGGTGGTGGAAGTCTGTAACTTATTGATTATGTAACCCAAACAACATATAAACATCAAAGGGTATCATTTCCTTTCCCCCTCAATCCCTTTCTTGATTCCATTCTGTTTACCTTGTCTTAACCAAACGACCCCTTAAATGTACCATAAATATCAATAATTGGGTATACTATGTCACAAGTAAATATGTTACAAATATTACCACCTTAAATATCTATGTATTGTGCAATTTTACCCAACAGAATTATAGTTAACTTAGATAAGATTATAAGTCTTTAATTGCATTATTTGTTACATATGATAAGATAATTAACATGTATATTTAAAAAAATTAATAGCTTTATTTTGAAGTTTGAAAAAATTGTATTCTTTTTCGATTTGGTGAAAAATAAGAATTTTCTGTTAAATATTTTTGTTATATTCAAATCACAACATACAAGAATGAATTTGGTTTCTCCTTATACAATTTTTTTTTTCAAAATATTAAATTTTCAACATGATCATCAATACTGTGTAAAACAAAACAAAAAAAAAATGAATATCAAATATCAATACATTAATAAAAAAAAAAAAATAGTTGAACGTTATCATCAAATTAAAACAAGTACAAACTTGATTATCAATACACTAGCTAATAAAAGACAATCGAATATTATTATCAAATTAAACAAGTACAAAATAGTAACTCAGGACATTGTCCAAACACACCCTAATTTCCAATTATTATACAATATGCTTTATCATTTTTGGGGGGAAACAGGACCGAAACATGCCACTAAAAGAATCTACTAAGACAGAACAAAGACGGGTTTTACTGTCAAAGTGTCTAGTTTACCATACAACATTTATTATACTTTGGTCCTATTCAACTTCACCTTATTTTTGTTGAACATAAATTATTTTTACGAATTGAAATAAATTTTGATGAACTGGCATTATTTTTACTAGATTAAAATTAATTTTTCTGAACTAAAATAATTTTACCAAAATGAAATTATTTTACTAAAATAAGATTAATTTTGCTAAAATTGAAATAATTTTTTACTAAACTGAAATTATCTTAATGAATTGAAATTAATTTTGCTGAACTAAAATTATTTTTACTGAATATTAATTTTTTGTAAGATGAAGTGAACATGGTCTTACACTACTTTGATGCGCAATTTCATGTGTACTCTCGGTTATACCATGCACAAGGTAATCCAGGTTCATAATTTCATGTTATTTTAATGTGAATTTCTTATTATTTCAAATTTTATATATTTTATTTTTAAATAAGTACGTGATATTTTATACATGTATTGTATTTTTTATATTCAACATTGATCATTTTCACTGTATAAGCTCTTGTGTTAATTTGAATATGCCATACTCTTAACATTAATTTTTCATGTAATATTTAATTCTCTCAAAGGAATGAGAATACACATAAGTTGGTTTTGAATACCAAAAATTATCAATTTCAAGCAAAACTAACACAAGGTATAAGTGTAAATAATCTCTCAGCTCATGCTATTTTATCAATAATACCTATATTATTTACACAAACTTTTATTTTAACATAAATTTTTGCTAAGATACTCATATTATTAACTACTACATTGACAGCTAACCTCTACCCACTACTAATTATAAACTATCCAATACTCTAATAGCTACCCGCTACTCGACCGCTAAAAGTTACCAAGCTACCAAAAGTTTTGCCAAATAGAGCTTATTTGATTATTTATTTATTTATTTTTCTAAAAAAAATCGGAATAAATTAGCATAACTTTTTTTTTTTTAAATCTGAATTAGGAGTTGTAGAAAACAAATCTATCTATTAACTATTACCAAAACAGAAGATGTTGACGTTACCACTGCCTATGCGTCGCTCTCTTAATAAATAAATTTCTGCCTAAATGCAATGATGATGTCATTTTTTTTTCTGGAGTTATCATATTTAACATTTTTTAAATTTAAATATTAAAAACTTCTACATTACAACTAAAAACCTATCAATTTATAGTAAGAAATTGAAACAATTTTAAATAGCACAGTAGCACACTAATAAAATGACCTCCTACATTGAACTATAAAGTAGACGACGTTGAACATACACCATATCATAATTTGATGAAAATAAAATTTTTAAAAATAATCAAATGTACGTAATTTATATTCATGAATAATAGCAATTTATTTTTAAAATATACAAATTAAAAATAGGTTTTATATAAATCGCTCGGGTTCTAATTTAGTGAAACAACAAGATCAAATAAACAATTTAAAAGGATTTATCAAGACAATTCGTATATAAAATTTAAAAATTATTAAATCAACAATTTTTTTTTAGAAAATAAATCAACAATTTTTTTATTAAAATATGACCCAAATTACCATATTACTCCGTAACATTTAAAAAAAAAAATTATTTACGATATCCCCACCCCTAAAGGTTTGTTTTTTTTGTTTTTTTTTTTTTTAAAAAAAAAAAAAGAAAAAAGGTGGGCTTTGGTGTGGGGACGTGGGGTTGGTTGGACTCGTGGGGGAAGGAAATTCATACCTCTGCGTGGAAGACAATAAATTACAACGGAGTACAGACTATAGAGGACTGTCTTTCCCCTCTTTCTATCAGTTTCCGGTTATTTTTCTCCTCATCCGACGTGATCAGATATCACCTACGTTTATGGAACTTTGATCTGTAAGTTCAAACTTATTAATCTGTTGACTTCTATGCTGCTTCAACCAACTCAGTTTATTCAATTTTGTCGCAATTTTATTTTATCTTTATTTATTTTTTAATTATTGGAGAGGAACAAG